TATGGGCTAATATCAGACTATGGGCATGAACTGGACTGGGTTGGGATTGTTCTTAATGTACAATTACCCTTTATATAAAACTGTCTCTTATACACATATGTGGTGTCTCTGAATTTGTTTCTCTGGTCTATCCAGACTAACACATCTATAGATCCTATGTATGCCCTTATCCATACTATTGCCTCACAAAACAAGTAACAGAATAGAGAGAATTCATTGGACATTTTATCTTCATGGATCTAGATTTTCTAAGACAATCCAGTTTAAAGATCAAAGTGTTGCTTTTTTGTGTGTGTGGTTCTTGATAAATGGGCTTGAAAAGTACAGTGGATTGCTTTATTGTCCACTTGGTCAACTGGATCCACTCTTTCTTCTGGTCTTTATGCACCATTCTTAACACAATGCTTAACATGGTGTATTTGGGTTACTCTTCCTAAAAGACTCTTTTAGTCCTTTGGAACAGTCCCTTCTTCAAAAGCAGTTGACATGTTGTGCTAACAATACATCAGCAATAAGAGAATGGATACAAATATTATTCTATGTGGTAGCATTCCTCACATACTTAGCCAAGTGATAGATATTTCAAATGCTGTGACATAGATCCACAACTTTCCCACTAGGCATATGTATCTATTTATCTACATTGAAAATTCCCTTAAAAGAGGACAAAATCTTCCAGCATTTACACAAAATTAAAAAGAAAGTATCAGGAGAAAAACAACCCCTGATTTTCCCTTTGCTGTTAGTCACCTAAATGCCTGTTCCAAACCACATGAGAATCTCCCACTTTCTCTTCATATTCAAATGTCAGGTCCTGCAGGTTCTTTCTTTGATGTCTTTTTTCCAGTCATCCTTGGTTTTTTCTTCCTTCTGCCAGCATCCTTCATTCAGACTGGACCTTTATTGCATCGCACCTGTACATTGGAATTTCCACTTCTGCTTTTATTATTAGAGGGCTCCACTGACAAAACTAAAGTTCTAGTTTTTCAACCTAGCACTTAAGTGCCTCTGCAGCACCTTTGATCTCTAGCCCTAGGTCTCTAGCCCCTCTGTCTATGCTAATCACTTACCACTAGGAGCATATTGTGCTTTAGTTTAAAATGAAAATGGGCTCATTTTTATTTCCCTAATAACCTGCTGCCTTGAATTTAAATGGCATATTATGTACGAAAATCACTTGGCAAAATCATAGAGATTATATAAATGTGAATTATTCTGTCTTATACCTGCCCTTAACTAGATTTTTTAATATATTAAAGATATCTCTTCTCATTCATAAACTATCTGACAATTTGCTCGAGTCTTTCTCTGATCTAGTTACCCTAGTCCTCATCCTTTTACATGTAGACCTATATGCTCTATCTCTTTCCAGATCCTTTGGATATACGATATATTGTCTATCCAATAGCTCAACTCAAAAATTTACTCCATGCCCCCATTTTCCAGGAAGAAGGGATAAAGATGAGCTTATTTGTTGTTGTTGTTCTTTACACTTTATTTTTTAATGTCCCAGCCTCTTTCCCCAACCCTCATTTTTCCAGCTCAGCCCTGGAGTGCTACAGAACACTCTCTACCCACTCCCAGGCTGATGCTTGTTTTCTGAATGCTTCTAGAGCCAAATCATTATTATCCATTCTATTTATTTGGCATTTATATCCAGCCATGACTGGTTGTTTACCCTTAGTAGTTCACTAATGCATACTCAATTAGGTCGAAAATTCCCTCAGTGTGGGTGACTACAGTGTCTCATTTATAGTTCATATTTCAGCATTATGGAAGAGTGTCTGCTACCTGAGAGATGTTGATTGATTAATCTCATTGAAGTAACTGATAAGAATTCACTTTCTTGGTTGACAGAAGGCTCAGAAGGCTAATAGAAAACTTGAAGCCATTGTGTCCTGAGAGAAGAGAGCAAGAAACAAAGGCCCAGAAGGGATTTATTCACAATCCAAAGACAAACGTTTGTTTCTGTCTTTTACTCCAAATCAAGCATGAGTTTAGGTAATACTTTTAAAGTAATACGATGATAGAGTTCTTACTCTCTCAATTCTTTGGTCTCTATATTTCATTATTGAGTGGATATTATATATGCATACAATCAGACTTCCAGTAGCCTCAGAATGCTCTCTGTGGTGGTTACAATAGCGCTGACCTCTGTTTACCCTTGGGGTTGCCTGGGTTCTTTCTACCCTGGTGTAGTCATTCTGATACTAGAAAGCAATGGGATTTACACATCCACATCACTTCAGGAAAATATGACATAAGGACACAGGCATCACGGATGATTTCTGGGGGTGGAAGAGGCGAGAGGTTATCAGAGGGTGTAAAAACCAATTCTGAATTAGAAGTAATTCAGTAATGCATCTTTATACAGAACTCCTCTATAAAATGAGACAGAGAGAAATGAAAGTCCTCTTCCACTTTTAATTTAGCGATAAACACCAAAATAGATTTAAAAACCGATAAGCTATTTCTCCCACCAAGACTAGCCATTTCCTTCCAGTCAGAAGACTGAAGAGAGGCCCCAGCACTGCAGTAGAAGGGTTTTAGAAAGAGCAGGTGGCCCTCTGCTGCTCTCACTCAAGGCAGCAATTCTCTTTTTTGGCTTGTTCCCATACCCTGCCCCTATTAATTAGACAGAGGTCTGAATTTTATCTGCAGAAGTCAGGAGAAATGCATGGTTTTATGCCTCAAAGATAGAATGTGATTTTATCTTTCCAGTTACAGGATTTTTTCAAAAGAAAGCATTAATCAAGAATGAATTTCAGTCTAAAAAACCAAAGATCTGTCTCCAGATATTAGATCCCTGACCTTTGGAGCAGGATCTTCTGTTGATAGCTGTTTGTGTATGTGGGTGTGTGTTTTATCAAAAGAATTTTCCCAAAGAAATACAAATAGATTAAAATATGATGTGCATGGAATAATATCAGTTTATTGTCGTAGCATTGGCATAAGTAAAGTCCTTTATTATCACAGGGAAAATTGAAGGCCAATTTTGACGCATAAATATTTTGCCTTAATACAAGAAACTAAAAAACAAAACAAAACTATAGGGGTTCTTTAGAGCTAAGCAGCACTTTTGCACTGCTTTCTCTATTTCCTCTATTGTTTGGCAATTACATCCCACATTGAAAACCCTTCCCCCATTCTTGCCTAAGTCTTCCAAAGCTGGTAGCCATCCATGTCCAAAATCCATTGTCATACATTTCTGTAAACACACACACACACACACACACACACAAACAAACAAACAAATAAATAGAAACCTCAAACATTAGCATGTGGTGCTTGCTAACCCAGGCATAATTCAGATGAACACATTTTGTTTTTTAATGATTTTAAACATAGAATGTGTTTTGAAATATCAGTGAAACATATGGAAAAGTTTGTATTCCCACATAGCTCTAATGTAATTGTGAGCAAAAAGAAAAATGGAAGTTTCCAATGACTTAGATCAGAAAGCAGAAGTCTACCTTTTCTTCACAGAAGCCCTGTATCAGCATCATATATGCATAGACAAACCACCAATTGAGTTCTTATGGCTTTCTCTATTTTGGCTGGATATAATGCCATCTCCATTTCCAGTTTGAGAAGGGAAAAAAAAGACACCAGAAGGAGGCTTCATTCAGTTTGGCAAACAATATAATGGCCCCAGGGATAAAGCTGCTTGTTCATTTTTGTTCACCCTCTTATCTAAAAAACACAAGTGAACTTTATACTGGCAGTTTTTGCAAACTGTAAATGCAACACAGTCTTCAGAACAGCAGAGAAAAACACTTCAAAGTTACTGCTGACAGCAAAGAATCACTTTCTGCAAGTACTGGAAAATGAACACTAGAGCTACTGAAACGGGTCAAACTTCTCCATCCCCATCACAAGGTTGACATTTACATTCAAACTGAGCACTAGGTAACTTCCCTTTCTGCGTGCAGCAAAGGCTATAACTGGGTTTTCAGCAGGAGATGCTGGGCTGCAAGCATAACTTTTGAGAGAGGCAAAGGCTGGGCCTCTAAAGTGTTCCTTCAGTGGAGCAGTAAGATCAGACCAAGCAGCAAACTTTGGGCAAGATTCTCTGAAACTCCTGGGGTGGAGGTAGGGGTTGGGGAGAGGGGGGGAAGGGGGCCTGGAGGTGGGTAGAGGCTACCCCCAGCCAGTCCTTTGGGGTCGGACAACTTAGGGGTCCTCCTCTGTGGCCACAGAGTGCACGTTTCATATTGGGCAAGACCCATTCGACAGTTCTGGGAACTTTCCTGTGTCCCTTGTGGCCTGCAGAGCAAATCCGATGCAGTATTCGCAGCTATTCCTTCTCCGGAAAGAACGAGGGTGGCGGTAGAGGCGACTTGAGTAGGAACGGATTCCACTGTAACTGGTCTGTTTTGCGTTGTTTAAGTCCTTTTTGCAGCCATTGAACTGCAATTCCAGGTTCCTCGGGGAGCTGCCCTGTGCACCCCGGGGCGTCTACCCTCTTCGCAGCTGCCCAGGCATCTCTGCCATTCCTAAAAGGTCCGAGGACCTCCTAAAAGCCAGATGGACTTCCGCAAAGCATTGCTTTTGTCTACGGGAACTTACAAACATCCCGGGGAGTTAAATTGGTCCAGGGAGCAGGGGGTCGCACGCAGCGCAAGCCAGACTAACAACAGCGCGCAATGCAGGACCCCAGACGTCTGCGTCCCCTGGGCACGCGTCCTCTTTCTTGGTCGCCTCCCTCTATAGGTTAAGAGGCGGCGCCAGCACTTGCAGCTTTACTCTTCCAATCTTACAATTGTCCCTTTCTTAGGTGGGCGTCGACCTCCCTAGGTGAAGCCAATTAAGTGCTAGGAAATCCCGCGCACTCTCCCCCGCTGTCCCGCCCTGGTACTTACAAGTGCATTCAAAGCATAACTTGCTTTGAGTTCAACAAAGCAGGCAAGGTCTGCGACCTGTTGAGTTTTTAGTCGCGTCCCTGCGGAGAGGCGGGGTCCCCGGAGCTTCCCCGCGGGGGGGGGGCGGGGGGCGGGCAGACCCTCCCACCTTTCCAGGGCGGCAAATGAGCGTCGGGAATCCGGAAAAGAAGGGGCGACTTAAGTGGCGAGAGCCAGCGGGAGGTGAAGGGTCCTTTGGCTAGAGGGCAGCGGTGGGTGGGAGCGAAGTCCTAAACTTTTCCGTCCAAGTTCTAGAAGTGAGGCGCTCAGGTAGACGTTGTTAGTGGGGGCAGCGGCTGGAAGAACAGTTTATTTTCTGTCTGGATTTGTTGGGTCCTGAACACTGCCTGGGAGATTGGAGGGGAGCCGGGAGAGGACGGAGGCAGTGACAGAAACGCAAACTGATGCAGAGGCCAAAGTAGGAGTCGCTGCACCTGAGCGGCTGAAGGGACCTCCTTTCTTGGCACAGGGTGCCCTCCCCTGGCGTGGGGAGACGGAGGAGGAGGAGGCAGGGGAGCGCGGGCAAGCAGCTAGCTGCAGCGGGAAGCAGGAAGGTAGCCTGGCCGGGGTCGTTTATTTCCTGGGGGACGGAGGGAGGCCAAGGGGGTGTGGCGAGTGCCGGAGCCTAGGGCTCCTGGCCTTGCTCCATCACCGGCGGCAGAACTTGCACTTAATGATTTTCTTAAACGCGTTTTGAAAGTCCTTGTTGAAGTAGGCATAGATGACGGGATTCAGCAGGGAGTTGGAGTAGCCCAGCCAGTTGATGATGGCGCCCAAGAGAGTGGGCATGTGGCAGCTGTTCTCGCAGAAAGGGAGGACCAGGGCTACGATGAAGAAAGGCAGCCAGCAGAGGATAAACGTGCCCATGATGATGCCCAGCGTCTTCACCGTCTTCCTTTCGCGAGCTAGGGCCATTTTGCGCTTGGCCTCGGCGTTTCGCTCATTTTTCCTCTCGAAGGACGTGGGCCCGCTGGAGCTCCCACTAACCTCGCTGGGCAGCGGCAGGTGTCCTTTGGAGTGGCCCACACGGTGCACCTCGATCACCTCCAGAGCGGCGCCATAGTCGCCTGCCCTCACCGCCCCGTTGGCGCACGGAGCCCCGCCGGCCGGGTCCTGGGCGCCTGGCCTCCAGTCCCGGTGCCCAGGTTCTCCATTCGCGCTCTTCTTGGGGGGAGGCGCCGGGGAGGCCCCGTGTCGGCGGGAATCTGCTCCCTTCTTTTCCACCTTCTTGACTGTCTTGCGGATTCGGAAACGCGCCGCTCGGAAGATGCGCCCGTAGAGAACCAGCATGAGAAGGAGAGGGATGTAGAACGCGCCGAAGGTGGAGTAGATAGTGTAGCCGTGGTCCTTACTGATGGTGCACGCGTCGGGGTCCAAGCGGTCTTCTGGGGTGCGCCAGCCCAGCATGGGAGGGATGGAGATGAGGAAGCCAATGAGCCAAGTGACTGAGATGAGGGCAGCGGCGCGCCGGGGCGTCCTCTTGTTCACATAGTCGATGGGGTCAGTGATGGCCCAGTACCTGTCCAGCGCGATGGCACACAGGTGCAGGATGGAGGAGGTGCAGCACAGCACGTCGAGCGCAATGAACAGGTCGCAGGTGATCTGGCCTAGGGTCCACTTGTTGAGCACCTGGTAGAGCGCGGCCATGGGCAGCACCAGCACGGACACCATGAGGTCTGTGACGGCCAGGGAGCCGATCAGGTAGTTGGCCACGTTCTGCAGGGAGCGCTCCAAGGCGATGGCGGCCACCACGCAAGCATTGCCCAGCACCGCGCAGAAAATGAGCGTGCCCAGCAGCAAGGAAGTGATCACTTGGTAGCCGAAGGTCACGTCGGATACATCCGTGGCATTGCCGCCTACCGCGAAAGGACCCTCGGCCGAGGTGGTGTTGTTGCCCAGGTCGGGGCCGAGCGCATCCATGGCACCGCTCCCGCTCGGGACAAGGGAAGGGGAGAGAGATCTGCTCAAAGTGGATCCCCTTGCTCCTGCCCCAGGGGTCTTCCTCCCCTCTCTCCGGAGCGTTTCAGGGGAGGGTGTCCTAGGACCCCGGCTCGGGAAGTTCTTACTTCTCCAGTGAAAGCATCCCGGCGGAGAAGCTCCGCTGCTTCAGCTTGGGTGGTCCGGAGCTTTCAGAGTTGCCAGCTGGGGGGACTGAAGCCGGCTAGAGAGTAGCTTCGGGAGCGCTCAGCGACGGAGAGGTAGCTGTAACGTCTGTCTCAGGCTGTCCATTTCAATTTGCTGTTGCCCAGCGGGCTGGACGAGCGGGAGACTCCCCATTAGCCAACAATCTCCAATCCCAGAAGTAGCTGGAACAGGAAAAACCCCATCCTCCTAGGTCACTCTGCAACCCTTCTCTCCCCCCTCACCCTCTCACCCACTGTCTCCTCCCCTGTTTTCTCTTCAGCTTCCTTCGTCCTCCTCCCCGCCTTTCCCTACTAGCCTTCCTTTTCAGTCTCTCTCTCCCTGTTCACTCCCCTCTCTTTGCTCTCAGTGTGAGGCTCCACCAGCCAACCTCCCTCCCTCCCACACCATCCCTCCCCTCGGGCACTTCCCCAGCCTGGTCTCCTTGGAGCGCCTGCTCCCTCCCTCCTCAATCTTGTTTGGCATCTTTCTTTCAAGTCCCTCTTATACACAGAGACTCAGCTCTACCTAAGACACAACTGAGTCTCTGGCCAAATCAACATTTTAACACATACACTCCTCTGCCACCCAACCAAAGTGAAGCGTGTGTGTGTGTGTGTGTGTGTGTGTGTTTAACTACCAATTGCCTCAGATTTCTGTCGGATTCTTAAATAGTGTCAACAACACCACTGGTAATAGGATATTAGTACAGAGAACAGGAATAGGAGGCGAACTGCTCTGGGTCAGTCTGTAAATCATTGTTAATTAATGAGAAGTGGTTGGAGTGTGTCTTTACAAAATAAGAGGAATCGGCTTCTCATTATCTCCCAGACAAGCCTGAATCCTTTGGGGAGAATGTTGCAGAAGACTTCTCTCTGTCTCTCTCTTTTAATAACCTTGGGGGATTGAAGAAAGGATTTATAAAGGACATGTCAAAGGATGAATAGAGTTAAAAAGTTTCATGTCAAAGTGAAGGAACAACAAAATCTGGTTTAACATACACTCACACTACACCTTTCTATCACCACTACCCTATTTTTTTTAACCACTACCTTTTTAAGTGGAACAATGCATTATCGTCTCCCATAGATTTGTGGCAAGTAAATTTGAGAAAGGTCATATATTAGTCTGTGAGCTGAAAAATGATGCCAGGGGATTTCTTTTGGCCGTTTGACTTTCTTACCAAAACCCAGGGACAACTAACCAAAGCTCTAGGGAAAACTTAGCGGGATCACTGGTCGCTAGCCAATGAATTTCTCTCATATTCTGAAACAGCGTTCAGCACCCGGGACAGTTCTAATCAATAAGGGCCTTTGTCGCCACCTTCCGGCAAATGCTTTAGAACGCCATCTGGAATATCTTGTTTTGTAGAAATTTAACAGCTACTGGGGCAATCCTAACACTTTAAGAGAAGGAAAAATGATTTAAAAGAAAAGTCGTGATATAGATTATTTCTTTGTCTATCGAAATTTTATTTTAGTCTCCTTTTTATCTTTGCTTTGTGTATCAAGTGTATTTCTGGCTCTTTGAAAAGCCTGCAGTCCCTGTCATTCACAAATTCTTTGTGGGCATGCAGTTTTTAAAGACCTATGCAAACTTTCCTCCTCTATGAGACTTATGCTAGGAATTTACACACTTTAGAATCCCAAATTTGCCCACTACTGTCTTTAACCTCAAAATCAAACAACAACAAACAGTATTATATTTCCAGGTTTTTATGGGTCAGAATCAAATAAATGGTAGTGGCTTTTGAGTTTGGGGGTATTCTCATTTATTTTTTATCTAAATTGTCTGCCTACTGACTAACCCAAATTTAATTCCATTTGAATATAATAATAAATGTCATTGTTCTTTAGTTAGAATTTCATCAATACATCCTGACATTTTTCTGATATGAAGGAAATGTGAAAAAATGCAATCTGAGAAAAGACATGATCCTAGACAAAATTCACATGAATTCACTAAAAATTGTGCTACTCTTAATATTGTATTCACATATGAGTTTTCCATTTCATAGCTTTGCATTATCCAGAACCAACCAAAGAGCAATCACTAAAGTGTCAAATAAAATCCAGTTGAGTTTTTTTCATATTTTATTTTCATATTTTACACTGTCTGCTGTCTCCCTTCACATAGGTTTCTGTTGTTCGTCCCCCTGGGGTTGAGGGGAGGTGTGAGCATTGTACACCCAAGGTTCACAAGGGTGGGAGGGTGAGGAAAGGAGGGAGAAAATACCAAGGGCTGAAACCAAGGGCTTGGGTAGAAAGAAAATGATGATGGCAACATATGTACAAATATGCTTGAATCAATTGATGTATGGATTGTTATAAGAGCTGTAAAATCCACCAATAAAATGATTTATTAAAATAAAAAAAATTTAAAGAAAGAAAATCCGTTTGAGTTGATACAGTTAGTAAAAAGTAAAGTGTTTAAAGATGAATTGTTTTATAGTTCAGTTCTGGGCACAATTCCCACACAATTATTTCAGCATTCTACAATAATGAAACTGCAATTCATGATGATTCATAGACTTGGAAAGAAATCATAAAGTATACATAGCAATGTTGCCTACAGTTGCTGAAGAAGTCTATCTAATATTCACCCAAATACTCAGCCCTCTTTGAAAATCTATAACAAATACAAACCTAAATGGCTTTGTTAAAATGCAGTTAAATATCCGAAAATTATAATGGGGGGATCTTTAAAACCTAGATTCTCCAAAGACAAAATTTTGGAAATATAACTGGTGCTAGGAATAAAGAACAAAATAAGAGAATGCAAAATGCATAAAGCAGATAATACATATCAGATACATACTTGAATAGGAATTACAGCTAATTTAACACATATTAAATATGCAAATTACAAATCATTTAATATTTCAAAATCATATTCATTTCTTATATCTAATCTTAGTAATCTATTGCTGTTATGACAGAGATACTGTAAGTATTATGACTTTCACCAAGTTATTTATTATCTTACAGTTTAAGAAAATAGTCCAAATTCAGGGTGCTAGCTCTGGGAGAAAGTTTTCTTTCTCTATTGGATCTGAGGAAAAGTTCTTTTCTCTTTCCAATATCTGTGGACCTGATGTTTCTTGAAGATTTCCAAGAGTCTTAGCCTCAATCTTCCCCGGTGCCTAGGAAGTTCTTAGTGGAGGATCTCTGGGTCCAAATGGCATGCTTCACACTCATGTCTCTTTTCTTGGTGGTAACAAGGTCCCTTCTCTGTTACTGTCTCTTTACTTTTGTCTCTTGCAAGATAAAAGCTGAAGCATCAGACCAGGGCTATTAACTGAGTAAGAGTGTTGCATCTGACCACACCATGGTAGATGCTTGTGTCATGATGTAACTGAGAATGATAGCCCAGCCATGTTGAGACATATTTTAGAGGAACACGATCCAATACATGATAGATCCCAGAGAGTTTTATAACTAGTGAGCTAATTTTCCCTTTCCAAAATCTAGAGTTACTATTACTTGTTAGGTCTGGCATTTGATATTCTGCTCTGACATTCTAAAAAGCATCATGTTTATTCAAGATTCAAAGAAACTATTAGTCTGTGCATTGGCCTAAAAAATAATGAACATAATTGAAACATTTAATTTCTCAAAATGTGAAACATTAGGAGGAAAATAGAAGTATAAAAGACTAGTAGATAACTATGTACAACTTTTTGCATTATCAAATCGTTGCTGTGATATAAATGAATATCACTTCTTCATGGTCACACTTTACTAACTCATCTATACTTAACCTTTTAATATACAGAATACCAGAGAAAGTTGAAAAAAATGGTGCGAACCAAAACTGTGGATGAAGAGTTAGGCTCTTGTTCTTCAAGGCCTCTAAATTAATCTATAGAAGAGCTTCTTTTATGAGTCAGCATATTGATTACATCATCATGAACAGGCTTCATTCCTAAACATATGTTTAAGTTGAATTTGGACATAAATCAGAACAGTTAAGTACAGCCATATCTAACATCACTTAGTCAAATGATTTCCTTAGGCTATAGTGGTGCACTTTCCACAGCAAGATTAAGAGACACTTCCAAATACATCTTTAACATAGTAATACAGTAATAGAAATATGGTGTTTGGTTTGGCATTTCAAACACTTTTATTGGCACATAATCTATATATCATGCAATTCAATAGTCCAATCATATCAAAAAGAGTTGTATAACCATTGCCACAATCAATTTTAGAACAGTTTCTCCTTTCTTATACTCAATATTATTAGCTCCCCATTTCCCCCCTTTCTCCCCTGCCATCCCCCCAAGAAACCATTAATCCTGTTACTATCACTCTAGATCACCTATTCTGGATTTCATATAAAGTTTTTATGTATGCCACAAAGTAGTGCCAATTAGTTAGTACAAAGCACTATACATACCTTGAAATTTTAATATATAGACTTCCTCTGGTATCCAATAATAGAGCATTCCAAAGAAACCTTACATAAGCCATAATGATGTAAAATAAGGTAGTAATTACCAGTAATTTATATGGGAAAAAATTTAAACTTTCCCAGACCCCAAAGAAAGCCAAACAAATCATAAAAAATTACATTTGAAACCCTAAATAACAATAATATAGGGAGAAAGAAGAAATAGTGTTATAAGTACATAGCCTATATAAAAGTAGAAAAAATATATAAACAGTGTAGTTCCCAGGGAAAAAAACTTGATAACATCTCTCTACCTTTCAGGGTATATGCTGCCTCTTTAATGGCTTGTTGGAAAATAAACACTAAGTTCTACTTTCAATTTTGCCAATTTTTTTATTTGTAAAAAATAAAATCCTCTCCAAATTTCTTCTGGTTAGTGTAAACAGATATTGATGTCTTTCATAATAGCAAAGCAGCCTAAGACAAATTTTCAAAGACTGTGAGATAATCAACAACACTGAATTATACATGTAGAAGTTGTTGAATTGATGAATGCTTTTTTGCGTATATTTTTGCCAAAATTGAAAAAAATACATGAATAACAATGAGTACGGGGAAAAGAAAATTTTCTAAAATGGATGTGGTAAAGATTGTACAACTCTTCTTGATATGATTGACCTGTTTAATTGTATGATATGTGGATGAAGTGCCAATAAAAGTGTTTTTAAAATAAAAAGGACTTT